AGCTGGTAAATATATTATTTTAAACATTCTTGTGTAATTGTTTTTATATTGTAGGAGGACAACCACAAAAAATCATGCCAAGATTATTATTCTAGTTCAATATTGTCATTTAAGAAAAATATTCTTAAAAGCCATGGACACCGGATCGAACTAGAATAATTTTCTTAGCAGGATTTCAATTCAAGACAATTTTTCTAATTTTGTCCCATGGGTAAGTAAAATTTTCTTATTGAGATTATTTTTCTTATTTCAAGAAAACGTTCTAGCAAAATTTTCTTATTACTAGAAAATAATTCTTTGGAAACTAAGAATTTTTTTCTAGAAATAAGAAAATTTTGCTAGAACGTTTTCTTGAAATAAGAAAAATATTCTTGATAAGAAAATTTTACTTACCCACGGGACAAAATTAGAAAAATTTTCTTACCAAGAATTTTGTTCTAACCAAGAATTTTGTTCTAACCAAGATTAATTTTCTTATTTTAAGAAAAAATTTCTTGAAATCTGATTCTTACCTAGAATATTTTACTTACCCACGGGACAAGTAAAATTTTCTTAAAACAAGTAATTTTGTGCTTAAAATAAGTAATATTTTCTTAAAACAAGAAATTGATTTTTTGCAGTGTATTACTTTGCTTTAAATGAAAGCAATTAATCTTTATGATCAGAGAAATGTTCAACCTCGTCCCCAGGGTCTTCCTCGTGGTGGCGCGTGAGCTGAGGAAGACCCTGGTAAAATACGATGAAATCTCTAAGATTCTTGGAGATTTATCGCATGCGCAGTAACGACAACGTTATGTTGCTGACTACAATTAGCGCTGGCGCTTACGATTTTCTTGCTTGAAAATATACATGTTTTGTTGATTGTTTATGGATTTATTCTCAAAGTTTTAACAACTTTTACGAAAAATTCTTCAGATATAAGCTGTGAACACACATGTACACAAAACTGTGCAACATTTATGATCATATTGTATCAATTTGTCGGAGTATAGCGCTCAAATTTGTGACATTGTTTTGTTCGCTTTGGCAATCCTCGTATATATCAGATGCTGTTCGGCCTCAAATGCGGCTGAATAAACACTGATAGTGTTGCCTGGAATATGAAATGATATTGAATGATTGTTCTGTATATCAAGGTATGTACTGTACATTTATACTGAATTTATTCGATTTATTTCACACGTTGCTTTCACATTTTCTCAGAGTCTCGGAATCACATTTTCTAATAAACTCAGTTTCACACATACAGCAAGACTTCATTTCACACATACAGACAGACTTCTTCAGAAATCACAGTTTTTAACATATAGAAAAACTTCATATTATCTCATCAGTTAATCAAATTATGATAACAGTACGTAGTAGGAATGCTTAGAAAGATTTTATTCTGTTTTCCATATACAGTGTACAACTGTTATTTCAATTTTCTCTTTCCTATATTTTCTTTAAAGCCGGTACTGTTCTGTTACAAAACAACTAATAAACATTTTATTATTTTAACAGGTGAACCATATTTTACATGAACTTGGGGAAAAAACAACTTGAATTCCATGGAAATATATATAATCATGTCATCAATCAGATAGTAAAAAATCATTAAGATGGCCTCAAGATTATATTTCACAGTGACCAACATGAAAATTTTTAAATGGGAATTAGTTGATGGCATTATAGTTTTCTAATGCTATATAATTTTGTTCATCAAGGTGAAGAAACCTTAACTCACTATACCTTTTCCTGTTACAGAGCTATGGTAGTAATCTTAGAAGATTTTCATGATCCCTCTATTCAGTAGTTCTTTAACCAGTCTGGTATTATGACTGTATTATGTTAAATAGCCTTGTGTGACTTTTGTATTTTGTTTCTTTAATAATATTTACAATGATCAAAATTACAGTTTAATCTTTGTATTTCTAATGATAATTACTTGCACATATCCATCACACTTTTCTGTTACTACTAATTTGAAACCTACAGTATATGTAGTTGCTATGATTCAGATTAATATCCAAAAGTGTGCCTTTTACTTCAGTCCTTATAGACTCCTCCCTAATACAGACACTTTATTGTGCCACTCCAATGTTCATTCAAAGTGATCCAACTGACATCTGAGCTGGTGATAATATACAACAAAATATTGGAAGTAGGAGTATATCAGATAAGTTGTTCGTTCAGTCAAGACCTTCAGGTTGTGCTGATCATCATATCAAACTCCATCACATATTGTGCCTTAAAAACATATATACAAATTTTAAAAGTTGTTGCATCACACTGGGCCATTCCATCTAATATAGCCCCCCCCCCCCACACCCTATTGAGGGGTCTCTTCATAATACCTTTGTATTTTGTTTCTTTAATAATATTTACAATGATCAAAATTACAGTTTAATCTTTGTATTTCTAATGATAATTACTTGCACATATCCATCACACTTTTCTGTTACTATTAAACTTATTACTATCATGCAAGTAAAATCTCTTTGGAAAAATAAAATGTTGTCCCAGGATAGTCATAAATATCAGCTAGTAAAACTAATGAATATATACCTATAATCATGTACATATGACTATCATATAATATGTTGTAATTCCTTTAAGTGTTTCCAATTAAATAAATTTCTATTTTCAGTTGTTCATTGTTCAAACTAATTTGAAACCTACAGTATATGTAGTTGCTATGATTCAGATTAATATTTAAAAGTGTGCCTTTTACTTCAGTCCTTATAGACTCCTCCCTAATACAGACACTTTATTGTGCCACTCCAATGTTCATTCAAAGTGATCCAACTGACATCTGAGCTGGTGATAATATACAACAAAATATTGGAAGTAGGAGTATATCAGATAAGTTGTTCATTCAGTCAAGACCTTCACGTTGTGCTGATCATCATATCAAACTCCATCACATATTGTGCCTTAAAAACATATATACAAATTTTAAAAGTTGTTGCATCACACTGGGCCATTCCATCTAATATAGCCCCCCCCCCACACCCTATTGAGGGGTCTCTTCATAATACCTTTTAATAATTTTGGAACCCCATTGGATGCAATTTTGGAACCCCTATGGATCTTTCTACCCCTTTAGGATATTGTTCCTGCCCCTTTGGATATCACTAAAACACCTAATTTTTAGGAAATCTCTTAAGCTACCCTCCACAAAAATTTAAGGTAAAAACCCCCTCTATAAAATCCTCATATAGGATATCCAGACCTCGATAGACAATAGGGGGGGGGCTATTAAATGGAATGGCCTATTTGGAATGGTGAGTGGTGACTACCAAGGAAAATGAAACATGCTGGCCTGCTTTACATACAGAATAAATTTTGAAGCATTTCTACTGTTACTTGTAACGATAATCAGATTTGATGAGAAAATATGGAGTCTTTCTGTATGTTAGTGATGTGATCTCATTGTTCATAAAGCTGAAATAGTTTGAAACTCGTGTGAAAATAAATCCAGTATAAATGTACAGTACGTACCTTGATATACGGAACAATCATTCAATATCGTTTCATATTCCAGGCAACACTATCGGTGTTTATTCAGTCGCATTTGAGGCCGAACAGCATCTGATATATACGAGGGTTGCCAAAGCGAACAAAACAATGTCACAAATTTGAGCGCCATACTCAAAACAAATTGATACAATATGATGATGAATGTTGCACAGTTTTGTGTACATGTGTGTTCACAGCTTATATCTGAAGAATTTTTCGTAAAAGTTGTTAAAACTTTGAGAATAAATCCATAAACAATCAACAAAACATGTATATTTTCAAGCAAGAAAATCGTAAGCGCCAGCGCTAATTGTAGTCAGCAACATAACGTTGTCGTTACTGCGCATGCGATAAATCTCCAAGAATCTTGGAGATTTCATCGTATTTTACCAGGGTCTTCCTCAGCTCACGCGCCACCACGAGGAAGACCCTGGGGACGAGGTTGAGAAATGTTTCCAATATGTGTGACTTGGCTAGTGACTCTGGTAAATTTGTATAAATATGGTCTACAAAGTCTGGTTGTCTGTAATGAAAATATACATTGATTGTCTATAGTTATGATCATAGATATTTAAAGAAATTATATAATAGACTTCTATTGGCTTCATTCAACTAAATTATATTATATTATATTATAAAAGTCACGAATGACTTTCATAATAGTATCTCAATGCCATTGGTCAATTTTTGTCTAAAATTGCGAACAGGGGCGGCGCTACAGGGGTAAATGCCAGCTAATCGGTAAATTGTTATCTCAGTCGGCAAAACTGGATTGGCTAAAGATAACCACTGAAGAACCCAAAATTGACCCCCTGAATAATTGAATTCAAACCGAATAGCATGCATCAAAGAAACCACACATGCAGCAATGCAAATTTTTTCGAATACAGTATCTTCACTTCTGGCAGCTAGTCCAAAAACATAATATTATTGAAATCATAATTAGGTAATTAAATTTGTTTGGTGGTGGTTGTTGTTGTTGTTGTTGTTGTTTTTGCTTGTTCTATAAAAGAGGCAATAAAGTCGGTTTTCCACTAGCGAATTTTCTCGCACGAAGCGACCTTTTTCCTTTGTCGGTATCACTTAATTATTACGTCAGCAAGACGTGGCAAAATCAGTCCTCGAAAACGAGTTCGGCATTCGGCAATGCCGGGTTAAATGCAAATTTTTGCCCACCTTAATTCAACCAAAGTAAGAATTTTTTATGCTGATAGCTTTTAAAATGTCAGCGAATTCGATTAACTGAACACACTACGGTGTAAGGTTTAAAAACTGACGGGTATAATTGTGTATATACGTTAGATGTTTGAAGATCAAATTTCGCGCGTCTGGAGTTAAAATTTGGCTCCAACTTTCGAATTTTCCGGCTGGAGGTAACGTTCCAGTTATATTCCGATTTCAATGATTCGTTAATGCGTGATTAACAGTGCTCCAAGACGTGGAACAGATTTTAAGAAATGCCGAGATGTGCCGACCTAGGTCAGACCTCTTTTGCTGACCTCAATTTTGACGGTTTTGACTTTTCCAGGGCTGCAAAATGGATGCCGACAAAGGAAAAAGGTCGCTTCGCGCAGAAAAATTCGCTAGTGGAAGACTGACTTAATAGAGGGTAATAAAGCGCATTTAAACATGCACATTTACTATATATGGCCCTGAAGGGGTAAAATGGGAACTGGGATTGATCTATTTTTAGACTGGGAAAATGGGATTTGGGTTGCTGGGACTGGGCCACTGGGAATGGGAAATGAAGTCCTCAAAAATGGGAATGGGATTGAAGTAATGTGAGTCGATTCCCAATTTTGATCCGTTTTTGGTGTCTTTAGTCATGATTTTTGTTGTTAACTATATTATTCACAGCATTACCTGCGAACAGGCATACTCTGGCGCCCGGAATTTTGGGTTTTCTGATTATGCGTGTCTCAGAATGATATTTCCAGGATTCAAATTTAAAAATTTTCCGTGCCTTCGGCACGAGCCCCCAAACACTTCATAAAGTGTCCGCCACTTGCACACACGGTGGCTTAAAAGGTCTTAAAACTGTTTATTCTACCGATAAATAAAGGGTTTTTTATTGACTGGGATTTCAATAACTCGGACTGGGATTTCTAATAAAAATCCAACTGGAACTGGGATTTTGCCAAAATTTCAGGTGGTAAGGTAAGGTAAATAATAGCTTTATTAGCATGACTATAAGTGTACAGTATTGCTAAAGCGTATAAAAGTTATAACAATATATAGAGAACTATGGTAAACTAGGATTATACAATTTACAAAGTAGTATATGACTGTGCAATAATACTTAATAGACTAACATAACATTAACGTTAATAAGAATAAGAATAAGAAGAAAGAATGTAGACAAGTATAATATTTACAAATAAGGTGGTTATTACAACCTATGCTAACTAGCACTCCTGTTTTCAAGGTATTTAAGCCTTTGTTCAAAACATGAATAAACAAATTTTGACAGTTTAGTTATGATTTCACTATCAGTTGACTTCATTAAGTCAGCTGATAGAGTTTGAGAGTTCAGTTTAATTTCGTTAGATGAGACATTCTCTAAAGAACTTCGGAGGTCTTCACGAGAATGCTCATAGGCTTTGCAAAAGAGTAGGAAATGGGTTTCGTTTTCCACCTCTCCTGAATTA